CTATTTTGTCTTTTGTGGCTAAAATAGCCAAAAAAACCCCAAACTCTTCTTGCCAAACGAACCCTAAAAGGATTAAATAATTAAACATATGTTACATAAATCCAAATTAAGTGATTCCAAATTATAGTTCTTCAATTAAATTTTCACTCATAAACCAAACATGCCCCAAATATATAAGCTAACATGCCCCAAATATATAAGCTAAACGCAATAAGTTTTACCTTAAGTCATGATTTTAACATTAAATCTCAACACAAAAATTTTGTTATAAATTAAACTGAATACTGTTCAATTTGTAAATTTTTAAAAAATAAATACTCATCTATAAACACTTCATAAAATTTTCTTAAGTGTTTGAGCTATACAACTATTTTTAAAATTTTATGAAAGCAAGATCTTAAACTCGAGAGACACAAATTTCACTCCAAACTTGTATAACAAATTAAAAACTGTGTTTCAATTATCACAAATCCATTTACAAATAATCATTCAATATATAAAAAAAAAAAAAAATCACCAATCACATGGTGCAACAACCATTCAATTAAATTATGTAATGATGTTATAATAGATTATTTGGTTTAAGAGCATGGATTTGATGAGGAATAGATTTCCTCTCCAAAATACAAAACTATGTAGTTTTGTATATTTAAATATTTGGTGATAAAACATTTATTCTCACTAATAATATTTTTAATGGAGACGGAGTTTTTTGTCACTAATTTGGCGGCACAATTCCTCCCAAAATTTTTAATGACTGGAAACAATTTTGGTGACAATAATAATAATAATAATAATAATAATAATAATAATAATGACGAAAAATAATTTCGTCACCTAATTTTTTATTATGTATGTAGATTGGTGACGAAATTTTATTTTTTTCTCTAAAAATAATACATTTAGAGACGAAATATTGTTTTCTTTTCGTGACAAAATATATTTTCGTCATTAATTTTCAACTTCAAAAACTGATTTTGTTGTAGTGACACATGACGGATTACCAAATTTTTTCATCAATAAATTTAAAATATGCTCTCATCCGAGCTTTCTAAAAAGAATAATTAGATCCGTCAAGTACAGATGGTCGCATTGTAAAATTTCCCTCGCAAATTGAATCCATTATCACAAATCAAACAAGATCTCGCGCCAATAGTTTAGAAAAACAAAGATTGAGTGACCTACTCTGATATCAATTGAAAATCTAAAATTTCTTAAATATTGATTTGTGATTATGTTTCAATTTTAAATAGTAATCGAAGGGCCTCCAATTGTGATAAAAAAAAAAATACAAGCCAAAGTCACAAAATAATCCATTAAAAAGATAAAAATGAATTATACATGAGTATCCTCAATTACCTAGCGAATCCACACCCAAATTGATCCAAACCTGATGTACCTCTTCCACCACCGCCGTCACCTCAAAATTGTCTTACCATTATTGAATCCACAACGCCGATGTCAAATCCACGATGATGAGCCACTCCAGAATCTACCAAAGCGTTAGGCCCAAGTTCCCCGGAATTCATCAAAAAACACCTCTCTTTTGTGAACGTAACAGTAAAAACAACCTCTTGATGATTGAGCTCTCATCGCGGTGCCAACCTAGAAGGGATTGGGATTGTTTGTTGTGATGCTTTATGCACTTTCCTTCTTTATTGATGTAATCTCATATGCAATATATATTTTCATCATCAATAAAATTTCTTTTTTTTTTCTGATAAATTTTTTTAAAAAAAAATAATAATAAAAAAACCCCTTGATGAAGTCAATATGAAACTCGTAGATTTATCAATCACTCTCAAATCATCAAGGAAACACTTATAAACACCTATCAATATACCACACTTTGGTGTTTTTTTTTTTTTCCTCTAAAAGTCTGGACGGGTTAAATCTTAAAAATAGCAAACGGCGTACTTTATAGTAAATAGGATCGTGAAGACCGCTCAAGCGCACACTTCACTGCTCGAGTGATATAAGTAAAGGCGGTGGAAACATATAACCCAACTGCTCGAGCGGTAAAACTTGCTTCCTAAAAGTTTAGTTTGCTGGTAGAG